CATTAAGAAGCTTCTTTTCAAGCTTCTTCCGCTTATTCCTTTCCCAAAAATCATAGCCCAAGTTTCGCCTTTTCTTGTAATTGGGATCATTGCATAATGGCTTCCTACCTTTTACCGGAAGAAGTGCATCAGCAGCCTTAGCCATTTGAGCAGCACATATAAAATCTGTCAATTTTGTAATTGATGAATCTGAACCACATCTCTTTATGGCTATTGAAACCTCAGCCTCTGAAAATCCCATTTCTTTTCAAGTATAACAGTTTACTCTCCTCATCAGAATTAATCAGAATTAGAATTCAATATTTTCTCGGTATTAAAAGAACTATCGATATCTGCGAAATCATCTTGAAAGATCACTTCATAATCAGATGAGTTGTTATCAGAATCAACATGTTGCATGAATGCAAGCTTTTCAAGAGCCTATACTATTGAGTTTTATTCTCAAGAGGTTTTGTGACATTATATCTACATCTACATTTGTCAAAGATGATAGATTCTCTGATTTGAAGAAGAAAGATTTATTGGGTTTCTACAACTGAAGAAATACTCAGTTCACCAATCTGAAATCAAATAACTTAACAATCATGCATCATATTTAGGCATTTGCAAAAATAGGTGCATTTTCATTCATTCTCATCCATGTTGAAATTTGACAGGAATTTCAAAGATTTTAGCAAAGATTCAAATCCATCATTTGATGGATCAGCTTTTCAAGAAAAAGTTCATAATGAGAAGAATTCATCTGAAGAAGGAAGAAGAAGTTCATAATGAGAAGAATTTGTTCAACCTTTTGTTTAAATTCATCATTTGATGGATTAACATTGAAGGTAGAGTTCATAATGAGAAGAACTCATCATCTGAAGAAGGAAGAAGAAATTCATAATGAGAAGAATTTATTCAACCTTTCACTCAAATCCATCATTTGAAGATCAACTTTTCCAGAAAAAGTTCATAATGAGAAGAACTCATCTGAAGAAGGAAGAAGAAGTTCATAATGAGAAGAATTTGTTCAACCTTTTGTTTAAATTCATCATTTGATGGATTAACATTGCCAGGTAGAGTTCATAATGAGAAGAACTCATCATCTGAAGAAGGAAGAAGAAATTCATAATGAGAAGAATTTGTTCAACCTTTTGCTCAAATCCATCATTTGATGGATCAGCTTTTCCAGAAAAAGTTCATAATGAGAAGAACTCATCTGAAGAAGGAAGAAGAAGTTCATAATGAGAAGAATTTGTTCAACTTTTTGCTCAAATCCATCACTTGATGGATCAGTTTTTCCAGAGAAGTTCATAATGAGAAGAACTCATCTGAAGAAGAAAAAGTTCACAATGATAAGAGCTTATTCAACCTTTTGCATAATTCTATCACAGAAGCAGATAGATTAGCATCAACCTTTCCAGAGAAAGTTCATAATGAGAAGAACTCATCTGAAGGAGAAAGAAGAAGTTCATAATGAGAAGAGCTTATTCAACCTTTTGAATGACTCTATCACAGAAGGAAATATGTCAACATCATCCCCAGCGAAAAGTTCATAATGAGAAGAACTCATCTGAAGAAAGAGAAGAATTTATTCAACATCTCCATCATAATCAAGTGAAGCCAAATGGATAAAAAAAAATTTCTTTTCGTCTTTGCCCTATTCTTGTTAATACAAGAATGAGCAAAGAGGGGCAGCTGAAGATACTAATTTTTTTACCCATTTTATTATTATTATAATTATTATTATAATTATTATTATTATAATTATTATATATATATATTATTATTAAAAAAATAATTACAAACAGGCCCATATTATCTGGCCCAATTACAAATGGCCCAACTAAACCCTAACAAATTAGGGTTTGATCTAACCCTAGCCGCCTCAACCATCCACCGTTGGATCTGATGAGATCCAACGGTCCACAGATACGCCAGATGAAACCCTAGGGTTATGATACCCTAGGGACTACGCCAGTTGCCGCCGCTCCACGTCGCTCCAGCCGCTGCCACGCCCCAAACGAAGGCTCCAGAAGTTCCAACGCCAGCCGTCCACGTTATGGCCCTAGGGTGAGTCGCCACTATGGGTTCGATGACTCACCGAATGGTACTCTTTTACCCGGTCCGATGGCCACACCGGTGATGGCTATAAAGCCATCACCCAATCTGCAAAGAAAAAAAAACCCCAACAGGCCACAGAGAGACAAAACCGAGAGCAAAGATACAAAAATAGAGACCAACTCACAACAACCAGCAACCAAAAACAAAAGAAAAGAAAGGAGAGAAGCTTACCGAGGAAGTCACGACCACCGGACCTCTTCAAACGTCACCAAAACCTTCGAAAATCGAAGGTACTTTCTTAGATTTGCTCCGATTGGGAGCTTTTTAAAAGAAAGGAACACCGGAACCGTCATTAGGACGGTCCGATCTACATAGTGGTGTAAAAATAAAATTTTTCGGCCACCGGATGCGGTGGCCGGTGGTGAGAACTACGGCGGCAGACGGCTGCCGCCCGGTGACCGACTTCCCTCCGATAAGGGAAGCTAGAGAGAGGGGAGAGCATTTCCATTCTCTCTCAGTTAGAGAGAGAATGACAAAAAAAAGAAATGAATGCTGGCCCTTCGGGCCAGCCGGTTTTGGCTTAAATAACCCTTCCCGAACGACGCCGTTTCAGGGAGGGCTATTTATGTAATTAAATAAAAGTTAAATCCTTTCCGCAGTCATCCTAATTTGTAAACTTTACATTTTAGTCACTAAATCAATTTATAATTCTTTTAATTCGGTTCTTTAATTTTAGTTTTATTTATTTTAGTCCTTTATATTAAAATAATATATTTAGGATAAATATCATATTTAGTCCTTTAATTTTAATAATTAATATTTTAATCCCGAGTTTATATTTTTAATTTATTTTAATTTGATATTCGAATTTTATATAAGTTTATTTTAGTCACCAAATTAATAAATAAGGAAAATAATATGTTTAATCCCTATAATTTTAAATAATTAATTATGAATTAGGTATTTAATTTTATTAGATTATAATTTAGTCACTATTTTTAAATATTTTCATTTATTATAAAGTTTTATTGCTTTTAAATATATAGTTCTAATTGTATTTTTTATTTATGTTTTAATTTTACTTGTTTAAATTTTTAAATATTATTTTTATTATATAGTCATATAAATATATATACAATAAATAATAATTTATATTTTACATAAATTATTTTTATCATATTTTAATATTTATTTATTTTTCAATATTAAAGAAAATGACAGTCTTAATACAACTGGATGTCATATTCTGATATTTTAAAATTAAATATTATAAAAATTATAATTTAATTTAAATTATTATATTGTTAATATTTATTAATATCAAAGAAAAAGAGCTGTCTTAAGGCACCTAGAAGTCCTTTTCTGATATTTCTAAATAAATAAATATTTTATTTATAAATATAAATTAATTTTTTTTTATAATTATAATTTCGAAATAATAAGATTATAAATTAAATATATTTTGAATTTTTAAATTTCTAATAATAGAGACAATTTATAATTAAAAAGTACCAATTTTGGGCGTTGTAAGGGTGCTAATCCTTCCCTAAACGTAACCGACCACGAATCCCTTTTTATTATTAAAAAGAAAGAATTTTTGGTTATAAACACAGATCAGTTCATCTTTTAACTAATGTTTTCTTAAAAACTCTGTTAAAAGATAATTTTTAGGTATTCGACCTACCTGACCCAAAAGGCCGATGGCGACTCCCAAATTATTTTCAAAACCATTTATTCACATCACTTTTCCCGCCAAATAAAAAAATTCGTGCCCGGACGAAAACCGGTTACGACAATTATAAACAAGTCAATTGACATGTAAGTACAAGTTCAAAGATCCACAACAGTTCAATTGCCTACCAAGGCGTTGCCTTTACAATTTTCTCATAACCATGAAACTTCTGCAATAACTACATTTTTCCGCCTGGGAGGGTCAGCTGCGATGACGACTGCATGCGTGTTTTACCACATGTCGAAGATTACTAAGAGTCATGAATGTGTCATTCAAGCATATGCAAATGCTCAAAGGTCGGAGAAATACGATTATGTTGCACGTAGCAACAACTAATTTCCAAGGACTAAACCAAGAATCATGGCTAATTTTAAAGTTCTAAACTTGCTATCATCAAAATGAAAGAAACTAATGCTAGCTTCTAATGTTCACAAAGTTTGTAATGACAATTTATTTTACCTTCACCTGTTGATTTCTTAAAGATGAATGTTGATGGAGCTGTGAGGTTAAATGACTCAATTGGAGGTATTGGAGGCATTTTAAGGGACTGAAATTGTTGCACTCTTTTGACTTTTTCAGAGAATATTAGTCAAGGTCCCCCACCAGTTACAGAGTTAAAAGATATTAAAAGAGGCATCGAAATTTTTTTAGCTTTAAGTTGGTCTGCTGCCAATAGATTGATTGTTGAGAGTGATTGTAAGTCAGCAGTGGAGTGGATTCATTCCCCGTCTTTGGCACCAGTTTTCATGTTGCCTCTTGTTAAAGAAATTTTGTTGATCCTTTCTGAAAAGGTGGTTTTAATTAGGTTATTTCCAAGGTCTTGTAATGGGGAGGCAGATAGTTTAACAAAGCAGGGGATCGGTTGATTGTATGTTTTAGTTATAGTTTATTTTTGTGTGACTGTAGGTTTTTGAAGTAGCTGAAGTTATTAAGTCTTATGTAAAATCATCTGCTGTATTGTTAAGTCTTATGTAATTCCGGTTTGGTAATAAAATGAGGCACTCTTTTCCTCCCTCCACTACTTGATCCTTTCTGTTAGGAAATGGTTAACTATGAGGGAGGTTTTTAACGAGGCTTCCTATTCCTATAAAAAAAACACAAACCAGACACTGAATCGTACTAATAATAAGTAGCAAAACAAAGATCATTCTTACATAGAGAAGTAAGACAGTAGTAATAACAATAATGTTCAGAAGAAACTAAATTTGAGAAAAACATAATGGGTTTTTTATTCACACATGTACCCAGACAATACATGAGGAACACATTATTTGCACACAGATAAATCTTAGAAATGGCTAAGAATACATCTAAAAGTTTTTCCAAAATAACATTCCTACAGAAATGAACCAAATCTTTCACACGGCAGTCTCCTTTGAGATCATACAATCAAACACACACACTGAAAGCAGAAGAGAGAGGGCCAGATCAACCCACGTTCGTGGCATATTACGAGCTAATGTCATGAGCTATGCACTTCAGAACCATAATTTTGGATGCTAAGAAACGCCAGGTAGCAGCAAAGAAACTAATAGTAAGGGGACTTCTGCAAATTTAGGGAGACCATATATCCACAGCATCAAGCCAAGCATAGTATCATCCTAGCAAATCTTGGGTTTTCAGCATTGAGTCGACCGATTTAGGTTAACCAAATAATACCCCAATAATCTCTAAATCAAGTAAAATCCACAGCTAAGATTCGGTTTGCTCTTTCATCATTCATACATCAAAACTACGGAAGTTCTTGCCAATGTGGAAAAGTATGAATTCTCCGAATCCAGGCTTGAAATCTCTTCATTGCAGAAAAAATCAGCAAATACTTGTCCAAAGTCAAAGGGCAATAAGCAAATCTGATTAATAGCAGAAGAAATCCCCCAAATATCTCCTCATAAAAGCTCCAATTCCTGATTCCCTCTTCTCTTCAAACATAAAGCTTCAAAATCCTAAACAATTTGTGAACGCTCTAAAACCCTAATTAATCATCAAATAGAAGTGCTAAGAAAAAACCCTAATTTGAACCATTCATCAGCCACGCTTCAAACACCCAAATTGTCAACTCAAAATCCTAATTCCCTAACCCTAAAACTCCAACTAAAAATACTCTTCCAAATCCGCACACATGAAAACAACAAGATATACAGATATTTATAGAATCTATGCATTCATATAAATATGTATTTACTCCCAGCAACAAGAGTAAAATGGTTCACCCAAATTCAACGAGGATCAACGTCTCTTTGACCAGAACCTCCCGGTGCACCGGAGAAGGAGGCTAACAAATTCAGATGGCCGGGAAGATAATTGCCAACCCTAGCCGCCGACGCTTCACCCATCGTTTGCTGTTTCTGAACAAAAAACGCAGCTGGTTGCTGAGCCGCCGTCTGTACCACCATCTCTGGATGATGCTGAGGCGCAAAGGTCCATAATTGACCAAAGTCAGGCCTCGCTGGAACAGCCCAGAACGCACCCGTGTGTGCCCCTGCGGACCCCACGATAGACCCGAAGCCCGGTCCCACCGTGGCACCTCCGGGCTCGTCCTTCCCAGTGTTATCATCGTCAGACCTGACTCGTTTCCCGAGTAGAAAAGGAGTGGGACCCAGCAAAGGTTTATGATCCAAGGACGAAGAAGAAGTCGTCGACGAAAGAGAAGTAGAATTACCCCCTCCGCGGACGGGAATTGACACGGTGGAGAGGCTGGCCGGAATCGTCCCCGTGCCCGTGGCGGCAATTATGGAAGGTTCAGCTTGGCGCAACAGCCACTCAATGGTCTGACCGTCGGACTTGTGACCCAACTCGCGAGTCAACTGGAAAACACGAGCGGCGCAAATGATGGGCATCCTGATTCTTCGGCCACGACCGTCGACTTTGCTGTGGCGATCTTTTGAAGGAGGCTTCTTGACGGCGAGGGAACCGTTGGTGGGCGCCTGTTGTCTCTGGGGCTCCATTATTGCTCCGTTTGTAGTAGCAGGCTCTGAATTTGACATGCGACAACTGTATAGTATTTTCTCTGCTAGAGTGTTGGCTGGAAGCTGAAAAGATTGTGTCCGGTTCTTGGAGTTGTAAGATTGATGTTAAAAGAGAAGCAAACTTTATTTATTGGGAAATTGATAGTATTTACAGAGAGGATATTAGAGGGGAAGTGAAAGAGATGGAATCGGAGGAGGGAGCAGAGTGCTAATCATTGAGCGGCAGCTGGTGGAGACAGGAGGGACGGCACATGGTTGCTGGCTCCCACTTCCTATTTTTGTCCTTTTAAATCAACTATAAATTTATTTCCAACAATGGTAGAGTAGCTTTTATTTTATTTTTACTTAATACACTAAAAATGTGTAAATTATATCTCATAAATGTGATTTAGTGCCTAATTTTTTATTAACAATAGGTACATAATATTTTAATGTTACACTTTTAGGTTTCTAAATTATAACGATAATTAAATTTGGTCATTATCTTACATGTATATAAAATTTAAAAAATTATTTTATTTAAAAAATTAATATTATAAATTAAAAAATTTAAAAAACCTCCCAAATTTGACATCTTTTGTTGTCGATCAGTCACCGTCAGTCCATGATCATCAGTGTTGACACCATCAAAACCTTCTCGTCACCGCGACAAAAAACAAATCCCTCACTCACTGTGAAATTGTGTCAATCGTCTTGAAAAAAACGCTGCGAATGATAGTCGAATTTCTAGTTTTTCCGTTGTTGTTTTTTAATAATTTTTACGGCTACAATCATCCGTATGTTATACGGTCATTATCATTGAGTTCATCATTCTGCTCCAAACAAAATTCGACCGGTGGTGACCCTTCGTCGTCGGTAGGGGTGTAAACGAGCTGAGACGAGCTCGAGTATTACTGAGCTCGACTTGACTAAAAAACTCTAAAATGGTGCTTGACTTGAAAACTCGTGAGCTTAAAATTTTCAAACTCGAATCGAACTTGAAATCCTTAACTGAAGCTAGTGAGCAGCTCGAAAAGGCTCGAAATAAAAAAAAAATCTTAAACTTAACTCGATTGAAGCCTCAAACTCGAACTCAAACCTAAACCTTAAATATATGAAAATCTTACTATATTTTTAAAAAAATCAATACATAAATATTAATATTATTAATAATTTTTTTAAATCTTAATATATTATATTTTCGAGCTGCTCACGAACTTTTCGAGTCGAATATCAAGTAGCTCGTTTCGGCTCATTAAGAACTCGAGTCGAGCTCGAGTCGATCTCAAGTAGCTCGCGATCTGTCTTATCTTATTTACATCTCTAGTCGTCGGTGGTGAGGGATGGGTGGGAGAGGGATAACGCAAGGGTTGATTTTTTTTTATTTTTTTATTTTTTAAAAATAAGATTTTATTATTAAAAAATTAAAAATATAACGGTAGACACTTAAAAGTATAACAAAGAAAACTATAAATATAAAGGAAAATACGTTAGGCACCTATTGTTAGCAAAAAAAAAATTAAGCACTAAATTATATTTTGAGGTATAAATTAAGCACTAAATCATATTTTGAGGTATAAATTAAGCACTAAAAAATGTATTAAACATTTTTTATATATAAATATAGGGTAACTATAAGTGATATCATATGCTCTAAACATTCTTAACCATTTAACAATAAAAGTTTAAATACCTTGCAATCGCTTATGCTCGAACTATGATTTCTTAAGATAACAATTTTCTCTTTAACCAGTGAGCTTACCTAATTTGTACTAATATAGTAGAGGTTTTGAATCACACTTTTATGAATAAAATAAGTTAACTTAAGAGAGTTACATATTGAACTTCTATAATATATCATTTAAATTAATTAATTAATTAATATATCAATACTTATAAAAAATACAAAAAAAATTCTTAATTCATATTTTATGTTTGAACTAGATGATCAAGATTTTAATAAATTTAAATTCTTAAATTGTTTTAAATTTTATTTAATATTAATTTATAACATTTAGTTCATGTTGTAAATTTTTTTATCAACCTTAAGATGATTATAAAATAATATTTATTCAGAATTTTTAATTGTTTATAATGTACATACAAGTAACCTTAACTTGTAGAGAGAACAACTCTTTATTTAGTAACAACGGTCACCTGATGAGTTGCTATGTTATCATTATTGAATATATTAACATGACTTGTATTATAAGTATAAGGTTTAACATACTTTTAGGTGCCTAACTATACTTAAAATTGATTTTTGGTGTCTAATTTTTTTTGCTAAAAATAGATGCTTAATGTTTCTAACTTTACATTTTTAGGTGTCAGAACCGTAATGACCATTAAATTTAATTGTTATATGACATGTGTCACACATATAAAATTTCAATTTTTTTTAATAAAATACACTTTTAGATGCCTAAACTATACATCAATTTGATTTTTAGTGCCCAAATAATTTTTCGTTAAAAATAAGTATCTAACGTTTTATTCGTTACACTTTTGGTTGTCCATCACTATATTTTTTCCAATAATAAAAATATTATTTTTTAAAAGATATTAAAAAAAAATCAAACCCTCCCCTCGCGTGGTCCATCTCTCTCTCATCCCCCTCCTCCGACAACGACAAAGGGTCACCACTAGTTGGATTTTATTCGGAGCTGTCGTAACCGATTTTTGCCCGGGCGGGGAAAAACTTGTACGGACGTGTCTCGACTTATTTGCGAAAAAATATATATTGTGAAAAAATGTTTTGAAGTCGCCATCGACCTTTTAGGTTTGGTAAGTCGAATACCTAAAATTTGCCTTTTAAAAGATTTTTTAAGAAAACATCTTTTTAAAAAATTCACCAATCTACGTGTAACCAAAAATTCATTATTTTTTGTAATAAAAATAGGTTCAGGGGTCGATTACATGTGGGGAATGATAAGCATCCCCACAAAATTGGTACCATGTCGATTATAAATTGTCTTTAATAGTGGAAATCTAAGAATTCAAATATAAATTTAAGTTACGATCCTATTATTCTAAATTCGACCATACAATTTTTATTTAACGAAAAATTCTAAAAAAAATAGAAAATATTCCAATATTTCCAATCGAAGAGAAAATAATCCCTAAAATACTTTAAGATGAATATTTTTCTTTCCAACTGAAATGAAAATAATATAATATTTTTCCCAAGAACTTGATATTAAAATAATTTGATTCGACCAAATAAAAAAGAATCCAATTAATCCAAATTACATATTTAATTAGAAAAGATAATGAATGCTCAATTATTTAAAAAATATCAAGACCAAATCCATAATAAAAATTAGACGAATTATCTCGACAAGTTTAAATAAAAGAACATTTCCTTTTCCTTTTAATCTTGATTAATTTAATCCATAATAAAAATTAGATGAATTATCTCGACAAGTTAAAATAAAAGAACATTTCCTTTTCCTTTTAATCTTGATTAATTTAAGCATACTCGCTTTTTTAGGTTATTCTAGGGTATTTATTTATTTTAAAATATCAAAATATGACATTTAGTTACTTTAAGACAGTCATTTCTTAATATTTTAAAATAAATATTACCTTTAATCCAATTATGAAATCAGTTGAGTTATGCTTATGAGTCTTTCATATATATTCGAAATGTCTAGATCTATATGCACAAACAAATTTACATGGAAAAAACTAAAAAATTAAAAATACCAATTAGGAACAAATAAATGGAAATTAAAGCAAATATGAAAATTAAATGTTTTTCAACGCTGGAAATAAAATTTGACTAAATTAACAAGTGCATACTTTAAAGTATAAATATCAAGTTAAATAAACAAACAAAGAAAAATAGATACTAAAATGATCATGACAAAAATTAAAATGCGAAAATAGTAAAACTTAAATAATAAAGGGTTGTAAGTAAATTGCAATAAATGAAAAGTATTCACATGTAAATAAAAGAAATTAAAGTTCCTAAAATCAAAACAGCATAAAATTAGGGATGGCAACGGGCCGGGTTCAGGCCGGGTATTGGTCCCCGTCCCCGTTTATAAAATTCGCACTCGTCCCCGCTTAAAAAACCGTGGGGATTTAAACGGGGATCCCTATCGAGAAATCAGAGAAAACCGCGAGAAAACGGGTATCCCCATTTAGCATAAACGGTTATTTAAACGGGTATCGGGCTGGGTATATATATTTAAATTAAATATATAAATATTATATATATTTTTTAATTTAAATTAAATTTATTAATATTATATATATATAATAATTATTTTTAATATTTATCGGGGCTGGGTATCGGGCTGGGTAATCGGGTAATCAGGGCGGGGATTACCAAACCCGTCCCCGTTTAGCATAAACGATTTTTCTCCGTCCCCGTTTAATTCGGTTTTCCATTTTCCCCGTCGGGTTCGGGTTTTTTCGTCATCCCTACATAAAATGGTATGGCAAGACAAAAACAAAGACCGAAAAAATAAATAGAAAATTAAAACAATGAAACTTAAGGACTAAAATTAAATAAATAAAAAGAAAAGAGAAAAAAATTAAATGTGCATAAAATTAAATAATAAAAATAAAAGAACAATAAAAATAAAATGTTATTGTTAATTCTAATATTTAACTCGAACCGTAAATAATGCGAGTAGTACCCCGGGGCAGGTTGTTGCAAGGTCATAAGATAATTCGAACATAAAATAAAATACATACATAAATAAAAATTAGTGGTTAGTGGTTAGATGTTAGTAATTAGCGGTTAGTGTTAGAAATATTAGCAGAGTCCGAACCATAAGCAGAGTCCGAACTATAATAATGTGGATCGTACCCCAGATCGGGTTACCACAAGGTCGTATCTAATATTAGAAACAATAAATAAATAAATAACAGTGGTTAAAGTGTAATAAAATAAAAGTTAGTGGTTAATATGCAATAAATGCAAGTTAGTATTTAACTTGAAATAAATAACATAGTAGAATAGTGACCAAATTAAAATAAAGCAAAATAGGGGGTCAGAATCACAATAAATACAACAACAGATGATTAGTGACAAAATGCAAATACACGACATAAGTGGAGGACCTGAGGGCTACTAACCCGCGAAATAGGCGACCAAAACGTAAAATCATGGTAAACGTCCAAGGACCTTAGCGTGATTTACCCATTTTTTAAAACAAAAAACATATTCCCCTTTCACACACAGCCCAGCCAATAAGCTCTCAAAGCTTCCAAACTCCTTGCCAGCCACCGCTCGACGCCACCCATGGGTGGCTACTCCTTTCGGCCACCATT